CACGCGCTGACCAGGGGTGCGACTTTGTTCAAGTTAGCAACCGATCGTTTAGAAGCGATGTCGAAACCAGATCGATACTATGTTCATTGCAAAACTAGTGTGGCTCAAATGCTGCGAAATATGGTATCACTATCACACTCTTGCACACGTGTCTAGACTGTCGCCTCGCCACAAAGCGAGAAATCAGAATATCGCTACAAATCGATGTTGCTACTGAACATAGTGCATCAAGCTACAAATTACTTTGCTATCGCTTTGAAACATGAACAAAGTTGCACCCCAGCGCTCCACTTTGCGACGGATGGTTATTCTAGCGGGACAAAATCCCAAGAGCAATGTTTGGGACTTAAAATCTAAGAACGTAGCAAGTGGTCTAATATATAGCAACTATATGGTTAAATTTATTTATTTATTAACAACTTAATTTATTAATAAATAAATACAAGATAATAAAACTATGATATTATTCGTACATGACACGCAAAACCGTATTGTAAACTATTGCCAAATCATAAAATTATGATATCAAAAAACTCTTTAGAAGTTTTTTTAATTAATTTGTAATCTTGTGACACCCTCTATAATTTATTTTAAAAAATATATTTTATTTTGAAAATAATAAATAAGATAGATATTTTAATTTTAATTTTAACACTCGGTAATTGTAAATTCATATATAGTAAATATCTATGACAATTTTTTAAACTCAGTGCCTTTTGATGGAGTTGTTTTGTTTTTATACTATCCGATTGAAATTAATCTTTTTGGGCATTCACCTGTTAAGCTTGAACTCCCTGTGACTGTGACTAACTGTGTTGGTAACTATTGGTAACTCAAAAGATCTACATCATTCAATACATCGATATTTGAAAAAAAAGTGAAAGTTTGATATCTGCAGAACAAAGGCAAGAAGGATTTTAACAAATAATATACGTACAGTAGAAAAGTACATACCTTTGGCGATCTTCAACATAATTTGGCTTGGTTTGGAATGTATAAGCACTTGTAAATATTTTGTTTTCGTATGATCTCTGCCTTGCTGAGCAGAAAACGACCAAATTTGGTTGATAAAAATGTATCGAAATACAAAGAATGCATTTTTGTATCAATTGGAATGTCTACTATTTATTCTTATCAGTACACATTTTTTGGCTTATTTCTAACCAAACGCTTTTGTCCCGCTAAATTTATCTTCCAACGCACTGTGCGCTTGTCCATCAAATGCAAAAATAACTGTCACTGTCTAAAATCTTTAGCGCCAACTTCAACTCATGGATGACATCCTTTTTAAATTCAATAAGACAGAACACATAAAACAAATCGCTTTGTTTTTGAATGTTAGTAATTTAAAACTCTAAATATTTACTAATAACAAGCCTAACATTAACTTTATAATCAAGAAAAAAACTAGCCGTAAATTGGAAATGTCATAATCACATTTTCTTGAAATGCACAGTAATTATTGGGACTTAGAGCTGCAGCTTCAATCGTAGAATGCATGCATAACTGAATAGTTGCAGAGCTTAAAGCAACCTGTTTAATAGCCTCAATAATTGTTAGTCGTTAAGAAAGATAAATCGGTGGAAGTTCATAAAACGTGACCACCCAAAAAAAAGAAAAAAGAAAAGCAGAAAAGTACTTTGCCAGAATGGTCCTGGCAGCCTAGGCAACGCAACTCTCTCCTGAAAAGGAGAGTTTAAGAAGAAAGAAGAAGAAGAACTCGGTCAGTAGATGACGTAAAAAAACTGACAGTGCAGGAAGATAGGAATCGAACTATCCTTATCTCTATATAGTATCCTTGGGTCCAGTGTACTTGTGAAATACTGATGACACACATCACAGGTACAGGCGAGAGGTAGCCGACGCTCTGTATAGAGTATGACACTGTAAGAAGAATAAGAATATTTTTTAAGGCAAACAAAATTCACTCACCAAGGTTAGATACAGCCCCGGATCTACAATTTTTTTGAACCGGGGCAAAAAATCGATATTAGCGCCCCCTCTCTCCAGCGTTTGCAATAAATTAATTTAAAAAACTTACAAATATCAAGATATAGGTAGGCATTTTTCGTAAACGGGACAGAATGAGCCCTTAAGCTTCATTCAGAACCTCCGAATTAGTGGAATAAATTAGTGGTTTCAATTAGCGTAGAAGTTTGTTCCTTTAATTTCAATGTAAGCATTAAGTACGTCTAAATTAGTGGTAGTCATTTTCAATTTGTAGAAAAAGTAAACAAACTTTTGACTTTTCCACTAATTATACTTCAAATTTTACGGGAAATATCATTTTGGCCATTGATTAGCATCCGTCAAGAGAAATCGTGATTAGAAATCAAAAGTTTATTGTTTTATAAACTTCTACGCTAATTTATTCCACTAATTGCGAATGAAACCTTAGAATGTGTTCAAAAACTAACTGGGCGTTTTAAAATAAAATGAATACTTGATAGAAGAACATAAGGTGCATACTAGGCGCTTTGTGGAGCAATTTTTTTGATTTTCAACCATATTATATTATGATTTTGGCGCCCCCTGAAACTGGCGCCCGGGGCAGGTGCACCGGTTTGCCCCCCCCCCCTTAGATCCGGGGCTGGTTAGATACACTATTTTTGACAACCTGTATTGTAAATTCTTGAAAATATGGAGAACAAATAACAACAGAACCATCACATCGATTGGTCACAATCATTCCATATTAATGGGTCAATCAATCATGGATACTATAAAATTGGCAAAACAACTCTCACTTTACTTCTATGTTAGGAGGTACGAAGTTAGCCGGTTCAGCTAGTAAATAATAAAATCCAGTTACTACGAACACGAAAATTTAATAAAGTAGACATAATTATGAATATTTTTAATTTAGGGATAGGATTGATCGCTGAAAGTAGACATATAGCATATTATTCCTTCCTGTGGTAGTGGTTGATTTTCCAGAAAAGTTCCTGGAGCACACCATTGTTTTCTCTCCTGCTCTTCGTTGGGTCCAGCGCCCGCTGCGCCCTCTGCGCCCGCCGGTTTCTGTTCGGCACCTACTTTATCCACCCACGTCATGTTTTCACTATTCGCTACTAAGATCTCTTCGTATACTTTCGCAGGCTGCAAAAATATGAGGTTGCTAAGATCATTAATCAGCATATTTAAATCACAGATAATATGCAATACGGGAGTTAAATATAGCTATTTTTTATACAAGACGATAAAATGGTATTTTATCGTCGACCGAAAAGATTAATTCACGAGCGATGAAATCGCGAATAAATTAATTTCGGGAGACGATAATGCAATTTTATCGTCGTGTATAAAACAATATTTTTTTCCATAGCGAGTTACGTTTTAAAAAATATTCAGAAATTATTATTTCAAGGAATTTATTACGAGTAGAAAAAATATTGTGCTGGGTTGGCGTCGGTTTCTATGTAATTTGACAAATAAATAAAGCTGTCTCTTTAGTTGTCAGTTTTGAGTCAATATTTTTTAATTCTCTTTCGTGTCGATTGCCGATTGAATTGGGGCCAGAAATGGCTCAAAACGAAATAAGTAAATAACCAACAGATATTCAGGCTGACGCGACAAACGCCATATCCAAACTACTTCCATTTAAATCCCGAATAATTTATGAAAAGGAATACAAAAATTTTCAAAAATGGAAGCAATTAAAAAACGTGCGAGAAGAAAAAAATTTTTAACCTATCCTCGCTACCGAAGTATCATTTAATCTACGATTTAATCTCGAATGTTTTCGCTTTTGCTTCCTCTGGAGCAAGTCCTTCGCGGAGCAGTCGGAGGTACCGTGCTTCTTTGAAGACCTACTCTCAGAGGATCGTCTAGCCCGTCTGGTAGACGCAGGCCGGGTAGCATTTTTCCGATCCCTATGATGTGGTTATTGCTACACGGAACGCTAATCGTATAGGACTTAAACTATAATCTACATCGCGTTTCCTATTAGGCCAGCGCACACTCCATGCCGATGCCATGCCGCGCCATGGCGCTTTACAGTTCTTTAACAAATCTTTCTTTATGAATATGGATTTGAACTCCGATTCTTTGCCAGAAGAGTAGAAGGATTTTAATAAACCTATGCAGCTTAACACAATCATATGCAAGCCTTCTAACTCCAGTGTCCAGTCGTGTCAGAACATTACACAAGTATCCAGTCCTAATACTTTTGTGCGCTGACCTAATAGGAAACATGACATTGGTTATAATTTAACAAATCCTATACGATTAGCAGCGTTCCGTGTAACGATAACGCATATGGATCGGAAAAATGCGGCCGTGTAGACGAAACGGTTGCTTCGATAATGTTCTTCGCTTGTGTGGCCAATATTGTGCCCAACTTCTTTTTCAACGCTGCAGAAGGGTACTCAATTTATACATGGTAATTGTTCTTAGCCTATAAATGACATTGGTGAACCATGTTTGACAATTTCATCTGCCTTTTTCTTACTCTTGTGACCCTCGTTTATCGATAATGTAATCTAAAGAAGAATAGAGACCTACAGTCATACTTACAACTATATCTCTGAGATCCCCTATTTGAGCTGGAGGAGGATTATCAAACGGTTCTCGAATTTTTTGGCACTGCAACATCATAAGTATGAACCATATATACTCGTCCCTCAACTCCAGTTCTTTCGGTGTATTCACTAGTTCGTTGAGTTTAGTAAACCAGTCTCTTAAAGGACGTTTTTCTAGAAGAACCAATTATATTCTTATTAAATTTAATAAGATTAATAAAATTAAGTTATATATCACGTTACCATGGCTGGGTAATAGTTGGACAAGACTCTTGGCTAACATACTGTTATAAAAGAAACTGCTGGAATCGGGAGTCGCCATTTTACTAGAAATTTTTGGTGTATTATAATGTTTAATAATGAATAATGGATTTGACAAACGATAGTGACATGTTTGACAGTTTTTGTACAGGGTTAAAAAAACTATTTTTATTAGGGTTATATTTAGAATTGACGTTATCATAGACATTTATGTCAAGCGTCAAAAATAAGTATTGTAATATTTTGAAAATGCGTATTAAATTTGAATAATGACTGACCCAGTAATTGCCCTGAACGATCATTTTCACTACAACAGTAAGATGGGGAAAGCCTTACAACAATTTTTACCCCCAAACGGTAAGAGTTCATTATCTTTTATAATTTCTTAAATCTAAGACTAAACGTTTTTTTTTCAAAATTAAAAATAAAAGTCTAAGTTTTTTATTTCAAATCATGAAATTGCGTTATTTTTGGTAGACTTTTATCTCAAAAATTATTATACTGCTGCAAAATAATACATTAATATACCACGCGCTGTGTTGTTCCTTGCTCCAGTTGTACCTAGAGCTGCTAATCGCTGTACCTTTGTGAGGCTTAAGTCTTTTTAAGTACGGCTTCCCACCATACTAGTGCTCCATAGGTAATTATTGGTTTAACTATAACAGTTTACATCCAGTGTATAATGTACGGTTGCACACCCCATCTTCTTCAAAACAATTTCTTACCTGCATAGAATTCATTTATTCCCTTTATCATCCTTTCCTCCGTGTTTCTTTTCTAGGAAAGCTTCTAGTCCAGAATGATTCCTAAATATTTTGTTTCCTTAGCCAAAAAGAATGAGTTCGGTTTTGTCTGTGTTGATGCCCAAACCATTCATTTTTTGCCCATTCCGTTAGCTTCTTCAGAGCAGATTCCATAATGTCACTGGTCGTCTGCAAGTCTTTGGCAACGATCAGTATTACAACGTCGTCTGCATATACCTTTATCCTAATTCCCTTCATTGTCAGAGAGGTCAGAATCGGGTTCTTTACAATCAGCCACAGCAGAGGTGATAATACCCCTCCTTGTAGTGTGCCTCTTGTTGCGCTCTTTTTGGTTGAGCTGTTTCCCATCTCCGATGTGATAGTCCTGTTCTCTAGCATTTCTAACACCCAGTAGATGGTTAACTGTTCTACCTTTAGTTCCTCCATGGATTTTTTGATCGCCTCAATCTTTACATTATTGAAAGCACCCTCTATGTCTAAGAAAACCAGGAGGGATTTTTTTTTGTAAAATATTTCTAAGGAACAATGTTTTTATAATATTATTTCTTTAACAATTAATAACAAAAAAAAATTGACCGACACAGCGTTGCCCCCTTTTACATATTTTCTTTTAATTAAAATATTTTAGGAAACAGAAATAAATTAATTCAAAATATATAAACAGTTATTATTTACATCAACAAAACTCATATCCTTAACAGTACTTAAGGGACATAAAGAGTCATTACTACCGCTTTCCCGTTCAAAATATTCCAATGCTATTAAGCTAGCTTGTACATGCACTGCGCACTGAAAGAGGTTCTAAAAAGAACAATGCAAAGTCTGCTAGTAAAAATTGTTAAGTTTAAAGTATCACATCAATTTCTTTAAACCAAAAACTTGTAATACAAAACTAAGTGTCAAAATGAATGACAATGTCATGAAATAAAAAATGTGGCAACTTGACATTTTTTACAGAAGAGCTACTAACTGAATTCCCAGCGGGAAATTTAAATTCCAGTTAGTCAGCCCGACTCCGAATATGTCCATGGTTGGCAACAATGACTTTAAAAATCGCGCTCTCGGTTACGTAACTTTAATTAACTATTAATTTGTATCTCTTATATGAAACAAGTTTTTAAATATATTCTTTTTGTTTGTACGTTAGTAACTCAATCTTGAAACAAGTATTCTTTTGACATTTTGCAGATAGAAAAATGATCCAGTTATGGTTCGATAAATTAATCAATATGGACCGAAATGTAGAACAGATGATTATACGTAGTGATTACATGTGGTTTATTCTTCTAATGTTGCAAGGCCGAAAACTGAGGGATCCTTTTACGAAACTTCCGCCAATTCATCTTCCCCCATTGAAGAAATTTGTGGTAAGGTTCAAAATACTCTAATTTATAATTATTTCTTATTATTCCGAGGGGCAAACCGCTGCCAAAAATGGTGTACAATAAATACAATTTTGGAAAAAAAGTACCAAAAATACCAAATTAGAAAAGGAAAAAAGTATTAAAAATACCAAATTATTTCCAAAGTCTGTCTTAAGCAACATGTTTAAAAATTTTTTTGCTGGCATTGATTCTGGCCCCGATTCTGGGTGATTCTCCTCAGGTTCATTCTCCGGTTCATTTAGACAAACCATCATCGTTTCCTTAAGAGCTTTCGATATTTCTCCATTTTCCTTAAGAGTAGAATTTATTTTCTCTAATATCGAAATAAAGTTGGTTATAATAGGTTGATTATACTGAAACTTTTCAATTTTTCTTTTATTCCTTTGCGAGCTGCTGTATTTTGTAGACTTCCAAATTGAATTATTGCTTCTTGACGGTAAGGTTGAAGCGGCAGCTGATAATGGTAGTAAAGGGGTAACATCGGGTAAATAATTATTATTGCTTGTGGATGGTATGGCTAAAGTGGCAGCTGATAAGGGTAGGCTCGTTTAGTTGGGGGGATAATTACGCAGTCTAGTATTTTTACATTAGGATTTCTTTGATTACACGGAGCTTCACATATATTAGATTAGGGGGTACAATTTTGCTACATGAGGGTTTGCATGCCTCTGTAATTTCCTTGGTATTTTCCTTAGAAGGCTCGGCAGAAGGCTTTTTTAGAAATGAAGTTATTTTTGGTTGTGCCTCAGAGGTATTTGAAGAAATATTGCTTACTTCTGATTTAACCTCGGATTTAACACTGCGATTATTACTAATTTTTGGTATAAATAATTTATTTGTTATATCAAAATGCTTTATCAAGTGTGTTTGAAAATTTGAGCTTACTCGGCGTGCCTTTGTAACTCTCGTTTTTGTGGTTTTTGTAGAAGGACGATATTTTATTTGTAAAGTTACTTGCTTTTTACAAAAGCAGGTTATTTTGCATATTAAAGTCGATCCCGAAATCGAGTTAGCCTCGAAGTTTGCAGTAGAATTTGGAAGTAAAATTGATGTGCTAAAAATAATGTTATTAAGCAGACTATTGCAGTTTAGAGTGCTCCAGAGTTCATCACCAATTTTTGACTTTAACCATTGCTTTAGCATTTTAGAAACTATATTATTTTCTGGGGTATAATCAGTTTCCAAAACATGTAGAATGGTATCTTCTGAAAGACTTCCAGAACTAAACGATTTTGTCAAAGCACCTTTAGATTCCAGATATTTTTCAGTATTAGCTTTAGATGTACTTGGGGCTAGAAATAAAGATATTTTTCTGTATTAGCTTTAGATGCAAATGGGCTAAAAATGATGCAATCAGCTTCCCGGCCATCGTCGCCACGTGCGTCTAATCCAGCGTTGCCAGATGTCCAACAAAATACCTGTTTAATACCAGTTTAATACCAAATAAAACCAGTTTATTACCAAATAATACCGGTTTATTACCAAATAATACCAAATTAGTACCAAAAATTCCAAATTAGTACCAAAAATACCAAATTAGTACCAAAAAAATAGCAGTATTAGTGCTTGTACAATAAATACCATCAACGGTTTGTCCCTCGTATTATTCCTATTAATGGAAATGTTTGGTGTTATTTTCTGAAAAATTTACCTAGAATTTCAATATTAGCTGTTATATTGTTGTTGCTGCTGATAGTTTTGTATTTCAACATTTCGCAATATCATGTAGTCAATAATGTTATTGCCCAAACATTGACTAACAAAAGCAAATTCAAAACATTTTCAACATGGACCCAAATTTATGGCTATTTTCGTAAATGCCCGGACTATAACGATGTTATCCGAGGAAATTGGCAATTTACCTCGGTAGTTACGTTATTGGCCGGGTATTATCGTAGATGCTCTTATACACTAGATATAAATGAAATTTTATTGCTTATATTTACCATTATGAATTTTATTCCATAGTAAATTAATTAGATTTTGAAAACTGGATGAATATTTCATATTTTTTAGAAAATTGATATTTTTTATATTTTATATTTAAGCCTCTACATGTTTACGAAGAAGTATTAATATCCAACGAACCAAACATGATCTACGTCAACAGAAAATCCAGCGACGATATTTTAAATCTCAAAGAGAAGAAAACTCACGCCACCTCCTGTTCATCTTTGGATTGAGTTCGAAATTGATCCACAGAAACCTGTAACTTTGTGGCTGTACTTGTACTTATTAAAAATTATTACTTTTCATAATTTTCTGTCCTATTTTCTGTATATTATAGCCTTCTAAAATTTTATAAGACTTTATATTCCTTTAAATATATATCTGTGAGAAAGAGTTAGGTTTCATACTCTATGAGAAAACGAATCAAATAGTTATTGATCTATAAACCTTGCATAGAGTTCGGGACTATGGCCTATAGATGACGTTACTATATCTTATCTGGAACAAAACTACTTTCCAATATGTATGTATTTTAAACTTTGTAATTATGTTGTTTTATTAACAAGAGTATATACCGGGTGCGTCTCGAAAGTGGGTCAATGCCCATAACTTTTTTATTCTTTCAGATAAAAAAACGAGATTTGGTATGTTAGTATATGACACAAATTAGGATTAATTGACGTATTCAATGGTTTTTCATCACTTCCTGTTTCACCGGAAATCACTACAACTTTTGATTTTTAAATGGCACCCTCGGTATATTTTTACTTTATTCGATAGAAAATGACACTGTGAGTAGAATGACATATTATAACTTTTGACATTTTTGCTTAAAATAATCGTATTTTATATTTCAATCTAGAGTGCCATGGCTGTATTAAAATATTAATTTTTAATCAAGGAACATTGGAAGAATAGATTTGATCATCTAATATTTTTCGTGTCTTGTCTTGGGTTAAAAGATGCCCAAATCGTATTTTTAATCATATCTCAATTTTTTCAAATGGAACGAGGGTGGCTCATTAGTATATTTGTAAAAAGCATTTTTTTACGATTAATTTTATATCCACACTTGGTATTTCGAGTCAAATTGTCCTTATGAAACTTATGTTACAATTTCAAATAAACTATATGCGAAAATGTCAAAAGTTGACATATGATTTGTCATTCTATTCAGAATGTCATATTCTATCAAATAAAGTAAAAAAATACCGAGGGTGCCATTTAGAAATCAAAAGTCGTAGTCATTTGCGGCAAAATCGGAAGTGACCGAAAACAATTGAATATGTCAATCAATCCTAATTGCCATATGCTCACATACTAAATCACGTTATTTTATCTGAAAAAATAAAAAAGTTATAGGGGGTGAGCCATTTTTGAGACACATCCGGTATATATTAGCATTCCAAATGTCGTTTTTTTATCTGAAAAATAATTCTATTGAGGTTTATTGAAGAGCACTAAAACCCACATTCAAAAGAATAACTTTAGATATTTTTGATTAGCTCGTTTACGAGTTATCGCCGATTTCTTTTTAAATATTTCTCCTTTCTTATGGCCCTGTATTTACTTATGAGCACCAGTCAAGGTAAAAGATAACTGTCAAATGAAGTTGTCATTTCAGAGATTTACCTATTTAGTGCTTTATTATTATTGAAAACTCATTCCTACATCGGAAATCTTAAAGATGTATTTATAAATACAAATTAATACGAATTAAAGTAAATAAAGTAATCAATTACAAGGTTAATTATAGTATTATTACAATATTCAATAACTTATTAATTTAGGTACTATTAAATTGTTGGAACTTTAGGATTTAAGAAGATGTTCAAATATTCCTCTATCGACTGCTAGGCAATAACCCTGGCGATCATAAAATTCTCTTCTTACATTCGCTAGTTGGTAAACTGAAATTCTATTGCATTCGGCAGAAATAGCATTTTTTAACTCGTCTAGATTTGGGTATTTTTTATCCTTGTATAGCCTGTTTTTTAAATGGCCCCAGAGAAAGAAATCATTTGGCGAAATATCAGGAGACCTTGCTGGCCAATTTACTGTATGATTTAGGCCAATAACGTTTGCGTTAAAACTATCGTCTAAATATTCCCGAACAGCCAGGGTACTATGTGCCGGGGAGCCATCCATTTGGTACCAAACTTCCTGATTTTCACTAGCGGCCTAATGTAAAGCAGGTAAAATATGATTTTCGAGTGGTTCCAAGTAATATTCTGCATTTAAATTTCGCGTAAGAAATAATGGCCCGATAATATTGTGTCCGAATATCGCTGCCCAAACATTTACTTTCTGTGGATATTGCGTCCTTGTTTCGACAAACCTGTGTTGGTTTTCTTTGTTCCAATATCGATAATTTTGAACATTGGGTTCATTATTTAAGGTAAACGTGCATTCGTCAGTGAAACATATGTTTTTTCAAAATTCCCTATCCGTGTTTGCTCTTTCCATCATATCAAAACAAAACGCCTGCCGCCGTATTTCGTCCCCATCTCGTAGCTCTTGGTGCTTTTCATATTTGAAGGAAAAGCTGATCTATTCCTATTTCATCCTCAAGTTTCCTTGTGCTGATCTTTCCATCGTTCTCTTCCACGCACAATAAAACTTCCAAGTCGGTATCATTTCTTGCATCTTCTCTTTGTTCCTGCCTTGCTTCACATCTGCATTTATTTATTAGGGTACCTTTGGTCTCAAATCTCTGGATATTCCTTGCGATTGTAGATTTTCCAAGTATCGGTCTATTCGGATACAGAGCAGCAAACATGTCCGACACCTTTTGATAACTATTTCCTTGATAATACCATTTAATCATCAATACTTTTTCTTCGGTAGTGTAATTCATGGCTAATATTTTCGATGTAGGTATGAGTTTTTAATAATAATAAAGCACTAAATCGATAAATTTCTGAAATGACAACTTCATTTGACAGTTATTTTTTACCTTGACTGGTGCTCATAAGTAAATAAAAACAGGGCCATATGAAAGGAGAAATATTTAAAAAGAAATCGGGCGATAACTCGTAAACGAGCTAATCAAAAATATCTAAAGTTATTCTTTTGAATGTGGGTTTTAGTGCTCTTCAATAAACCTAAATAGAATTATTCTCTAAAATAATTAGGGAAGTCAATAATTGACCCCATTAAAATTTACATGAGATTTCCTATGTCCCGCTCGACGATGCAATGAATTATTTCATTTGTTGACATCTAATTTTCCCTGACTTTATTTATATCAATCAATATATTTGTGTATTCTAACATTTTTTTTACACACTAAAATTAAACACTACAATTCGAAAGATTTTTTTTCACATTTTAAACATTTACCTGTTAATGCTCTTCCACATGGAGCGAAGAGTCCGCGCGGACGGCCCGCTCCATCTGAAACAGCACTTACTTTTATAAGAAATAATAAATATGTCTTCATAATATACCGGGTGCGTCTCAAAAGTGGCTCACCCCCTATAACTTTTTTATTTTTTCAGATAAAAAAAGAAGATTTGGTATGTTAGTATTTGACATTAATTAGTATTGATTGACGTATTCAATTGTTTTTGGTCACTTCCTGTTTCACCGGAAATGACTAGAACTTTTGATTTTTATATGGCACCGTCGCACACTGGCCGATTTGAATTAAATCATGGCATAAATGGAGTTACGCGTTTTGCTTTATTAATAATTTAAAAAATCAACATAATTTACCTAAATATATAAACTGAATTAGTTTTAGTTTCATATTTACCAGAAATTGTATTATACAGGGTAACCGAGGGGTAACCTAGGCTAATCAGAATACCGTTTATATGAACTAAATAGGCAACATTTTAATTATAGATTATTTCACTGGGGAAGAAACAGTAGCATATGCTAGGGTGGAATATGGGGACACGATCCCCACTTTTTTAGATCTTTAAATTTTTATGACATTACTAATTCTAGTTTTAACAATTTACATTTAACACAAAATGGTTATACTGAAAAATAAATTTATAAAATGATGTTCCTAATATTTTGAATTTTAACAGTTTTACGTTTAACAGGAAAAATTAATACCCTTTTGTCTAAAGAAAAAAATATTAAATATATGTAAATATTCCCTAATTTTTATATTTACCATATACCACTATAGTATTAGTCCAAAGCTAATAAAGCAATATTAAGGAGGTTTAGAAAAATGTTTATCTGATGATTAAAATTTACAACTATCTTTCTTGCACATTTTATTGGCTCTTTTGGCCTTTTTACAATATGTCTACAGTAAAAACAATCCCTAAAATAATTTGAATGCAGATAAATCTAACAAATTTGGAATAACTTAGTCGAAACTAATACTTTTAGATTACACTGTATAATTTTATTGCGGGCAACTTCGGGCAACCTTTTTTGGTGGATACTATATAGTAAGGCATTGAATAATAGAGAAAAAAATATGTGACATTGGAAATATGATGAGAACACAAACAAAATGCTTTTTGTATTTTGATTTTTTAATAATTCATTAAGAACATAATATTATGACCTAGCTAATTATTTCATATTATTTTTATAATACAGACTTATACTATCATTTATTGGTTTTAAAAAAGTTCATATCTCAGTAGCGCCATTCCATAACTGCAGTTTTTTTTTTTTTTTAAATAAAGCTTTTTAATACATTTGAACACATCAAATGTATATCTGTTTAACTGCACGCTTAAAACTTGACAACATTTTAACGAGCATTTTAATCAACTTTGACCTAAACTGAAACAATAAATCAATCATTTATCAAGTTAAAACCATGTGTAACTAGTCTGCTGGAATAGTAGAGTATCAGCACTGACATTTTTGTGACCAATTATTAAAAGAAAATATTTCTATTTATGCCATGATTTGATCAAATTCGGCCAGTGTGCGTCGGTACTTTTTTACTTTATTCGATAGAAAATGACATTCTGAATAAAATGACATATCATATGTCAACTTTTGACATTCTCGCTTAATGAAAAATCGTATTTTAAAATTCAATCTAGAGTGCCATGGCTATGTTAAAAACACTAACTCTTAATCAAGGAGTCTTGGAAAAATAGATTTGATAGTCTAATGTTTTTAGTGCCTTGTCCTGGCTAGTTAGAAAATGCTCAAATCGTATTTTTAATCATATCTCAATTTTTTCAAAGGGAACGAGGGTGGCTCATTAGCATATTTGGAAAAAACATTTTTTTACGAATAATTTGATACCATACACTTGGTATTTCGAGTCAAATTTTCGTTACGGACCGCAAGTTATAATTTCAAATAAACCATATGCAAAAATGTCAAAAGTTGACATATGATATGTCATTCTATTCAGAGTGTTATTTTTTGTATCGAATAAAGTAAAAAAATACCGAGGATGCCATTTAAAAATCAAAAGTTGTAGTCATTTCCGGTGAAACAGAAAGTGACCGAAAACAATTAAATAAGTCAATCAATCCCAATTTATGTCATATACTAACATATCAAATCTCGATTTTTTATCTGAAAAAATAAAAAGGTTATAGGGATGAACCATTTTTGGGAAGCACCCAGTAGTATAGAAAACCAAAAAATATTAAATATAAATTATTGAGAGTGACAAGGGATGGCGAAATTTTGTTTATATCTATTTCATTTTCTGTCTAAAAACATCGTTGCTTTTTATGCTTCAATAATGAAACAAAAACAGAGAATATACCCTATTCAAAAAAATTACAAATACCTAGCAATAATTCAGCAGTTTTGGCTTGTCTATCACACAAGTAAGTACTTAATATTCACTGTAAACTAGTACTAATTTAATTATTTTTGTTTTCCTTTATAGAAATGCATTTGTTTGAGGTTTTTATAACATTAACAAGTCTATATTGCGCTGTCTATTGCCATGTGGTGTCGCATCCACGAGAAATTTTAACTCGTGGGACTCATGAAAAAGAGCATGACTTTTTTCATGCTAATGAAAAGGATGAAGGTAACTATTATATTAAACCTATTTAAATTGAATAAAAGAAAACAGTTAATTAATAAGTTAAATAGTTAGTATGATGTTATTATTTTTTTGATAAAAAATAATACGACTTTCCTTTTATTATGGCTGAAAAAGTTTATATTTGAAGGAATTTAATTTTTTTATAATGGTTTTAGATAAATGTTAAAACTGAAAATTGAAGTTGTTACAAAATTATACATTTAAAAAAAATCACTAAAAAGAAAGTCTCAATTTTAAATTAAGTTTTTGTCATAAAAAAATGTTACTTAGTAACTAAATTTGAATATTCTTTAAATACTTTTGTCTAGAAGCTATATCAATTAATCTTGATAATGTCTGTATATTTGATTCAAAAAAATGTATTTCAGACAGAAGTTTGAATGAAGTTGATCAGGAGAATAGTATTGCTAATGGAGATTCAAAATGTATGCCTCTGATTTCTTGTCCAGCACATGTACGGAATAAAAATAATATATACTGTGAAACTATGGCGGGAAGGAAGGGCATATACTGTTCGACAGGCCAAAATCACACAGGTAAATTAAAAAATATATAAGAAATTTTGTTTAAAAGATATTTTCTATAAGATTGTATCCTTGATGTATAACACTCTTAGAACATAACCAGAACATATATATTATGTCAAAATAACAGTTACTGAAAAGTTAGTGTTAAGATTGATTCTCACTATACCTTCCGTTTCACTTCCATATATCCATTCCGTATTCGTTCCGTATTTTTATTGTATTGATGCTATACGTAAGCTTCCATTCCGTATCAGTTCCATACTTTTTATTGTACAATTTACATCATTAAGAAAGTTTTATTTTAAAAATTTGTATCTTTTGAAAATGGTAGTAGATTTAATTAAGAGGTGAAAGAATAAATAAATATCAGGAAAATGTTAACAGAGCTGGTCCAAATGTAAGAGCTTGACAACACTGTTTACGATACGCTTCAGTCCATCGGCCAAAAAAATGTATGGAAGGAAAGGATATGGAACGGAAGGGAAACGGAACGTATAGTGTACATTGTCCTGTTCATTTACATGATATAATATTTTATGTAAACGGAAGGGAAACGGAAGGGAGCTGATATGGAAGGTATAGTGAGAATCAACCTTTAAAAATACAATTTTATGACTATACAGAGTGAGCCTGAAATAAGTGCAAATATTTTCAGGGTTGTTAAATCTCGATGAAGAAACATATATCCTCTTTACCGTTTTTCAAATAAGTCCAAAATAACTGAGAAATTTTACTTTGAAATTCTTTTTTAAAATTTAATCTACTACCTATGTTGCCATATTATGAAGATAAAATGTTTTTAACTAAAAATCGAAAAAGGTCCCAATTTTTTTTTCTAAAAATTCCAATTATTTTCGCGAAAAAAACTTATAGACGTGTTTCTGGGGTCGAAATATACTACCTAAAAATATTTGCACTTATTTAATATTAACCCTGTATGTCAATTTTCCTAAATATACCAGCACTTTTATAAATCGTGCCCTCCCTCACTTAAAAAAAGTAACTGAAAAATCGAAAAAATGAGTCGTCACACAAAACGACTGGGGTCACTTGAACTTTCTAGAGGGAAAATTTTGATCTCAAGAAGTGATGTTAATGTATCTATCACGGTAACAAAGTTGTGATAGTATTTGGATTCGAAGTATTTTACACAATTTACAATTTTAACATAGGATTTTTTTTATTTTGTTCCCTTCCGATAAATATACTAAAATGCGAGTTATGCTAATACAATAATAAGGAGAATACAATAGGAGACAAAATTGCATATATTTTCGAAAAGTTTTCAGAAAATTAAAAATATCTCCTTTAATATCGAAACCTGATCCAACAAATACCAAAAAATTAAGTTTACTTTAATATCTGTAATTATTTATAATAATAGCTTACAGGATGTTTTAAGGCATATGCCAAGAGCTTTAAGGGGTGATTTCTCGGAAAAAAAATTACCTATCTAGATTTAAATAAAAAATGCAATGACTTGTTAAATTTGGATATCCTGATCTATTTACAAACTTTTTTAACCCTTGTATTTTTTAATAAAACTTAATAAGCCAATTAAAAACAAAAAATATAAAATTAAAATCGGGTCTTGCAACATCTTCAACAAGATCAATGACTTTTGTACAATCTTTGATACTAAAACCCATATTCAATCGTATACAACAATAATCACCAAAGCCACCTCGTTATTGTGAAGAATAACATCAAAAAGTAAGGATAATTGAAAAAATTGCAAAATGTTTGTGGCAAGTTTATTTTGCTCTTAGCTTAAAAATTAGCCAAAGCATTTGCTGAAATGAGACAAAGAACAAAATAATCAAGAGACATGGTTCTGACCGAAAAATAATGTTTTATGAAAATTTGCTCATGAAATTATTGTACAGTATGTTTTAAAAATACAGTACTCTTCGAGTTACCCTGTATAATAAATACTAAAGTTTATACTAAAAGTCAAATACTAAATTAAAGTTGATGTATTTTTATACAGTTTGCTAAAAAAAACAAAAAAAACAGGGTTAAAAATAAAAAAATATAACATTTTTAAAACTTGACCAAAATTTTTTCAGTGCGTTTTTTGCATCTGAGTGTACACGACTCATATTTGTTTTTATAAATCAGTATATATTTTTTGGTATAAATATTACCTACTTTAGAGCTTCAAATGGCAATTTGAGAAAACTCCGATAAAAACCCTTCCATTATATCAGTGTTTCGGAATTTTTAATATTCGCATTCGATATTTCAAAAAAGCAATAAATAAAAACGCTTGAAATGGCGCTAAACTTCCAACAATAAAACATTATCGTTTTCTCTTGAAAAATAATTCATTTGAAATCACTTACATTGTAATAATTATTTCGGTGAAAGCCTGTACCTAAAGCTGTAAGTTATTCCTTCACAGAAATGCATTTCTTGTTTCTAAATTTACAGAGATATTGCTTTACTTGTTTGATGAAAGAATTTAATGTTTTAGTACTGATATTGACTTCGTAAAATATATCTTAAATCTGCATTCTGCGTCAATTCCTAGGTAGGAATTTAAATATATAATTTCATATTAATTTTTAATACATGTTTCTAAAAATTGCACAACATATCACTATAAAACAACAATTAAAAGTTCTCTCATCATATTTTTATAATTGATGTGTATTTCTTCATGACAGTTGATGTTGATGTTTTTTGATTCATTTTGCTTTTATTCTTCACGTTTTTTTTTATTGGCCTCAACATCACCTTCGACTTTGAAAGAAGCTGACTGTGCCGTTTGTTCTTATTATTGTTAAAATAATTTATAAATTTTGTATTTTGTATATGATTTGGAACAATAACCTTTTATTATTATTTCAATCAGTTATTCTTTATTGGATATATTCGATTATGAAGAAGACAGTAACGATTTACAGCAATTGTTGCAATTAAATTATGCATTTGCTTTTGGCTTATGCGGTATGGTTAACAAGCACAGATGCATTTATGTACTCAAAATAATGGCGGAACATTTTCTAAAATAACTTAGAGTGTACGTAGTGATATTATTTCTTTAAGTTTTACTTTGTGTAATGTAAATTGTAAAGAACCATTTAATAATATATTCTGTCTTTTTTTTATAAGTTGTAAATCATAACAGAATATGAATACCATGCCAACTAAGTGAGTGATAACCAACTGAAGTGATATAAGTGAACTTATATCGCTTCTTCTTCTTCCTGTCTTGAGCCAAACGGATAATTGCACTGGCCTCTCCGATAATAGACTTATATCGCTGAGAAGCTTAAAAAAATGGCGCTTTTTATGAAGTCATGGCCAACTATGGTTTCCATTTAAAAAAAAACATATGTTTGTGTCATATGTCAAAAATGACAGGCTTTAGAAAAAATAGGAGAACACAAACTCATTAGGGATGTGATTATCTACAACTTTTATCTGAAAACTTTTTGTCTAAAATTATAATGGAATTAGAGACAATTTTTAAAATAGCCAAAATTTGTTTTTTTCCAAATATCTAGTAAGCCATCAACATTTTCAAAAATCTGAAAGGCGCATATTTATGACCCCACAAAACTGCAATTCTTTCCCTATTTAACCGACTCTCTATCTTCAGTAGTTACCGAGATACCCATAAAGAACATCGTAGGAAACTCACCCTGTATGTTCTTGCCATTATATCTATGTTCATATAAAGAGACGCTGCATAATTTATATTCGTGAATTATTAGATTATTCTTCAATAAAGTGAATATAATTTTAATTTTTAGTAGTTATAGATTTTTCTGGTCAAGTAGTTATTTTAAATATTTTTCATGATTTGTAGGAATCTTACACAGCAAAGGTCGAGGCCATCACAACTTCCATGCAGATTTCTTGACACTGGAAAATCTAAGCCAGAAATCGAGGGCCGAAATGTCCAGGCTAAGAACGAAAGAAGCCAATCTTCTATCCAAAAAATCGTCAGTTTTGCAACCTGGATCGGCTACTTATGGTCATTTTCGGAATTCAAGAAGATTCAACCCTGCCGATATCACCGAAGTGATGCACATAGCCGATAAAGCTTTGGAAATAGCTATAGCTACTCGAGTTTTTAAAGACAGGTGAGATAGTTTTTAGGTAATTTTGAACTAGTCACAAAATTTTAGAGTCGAATTAATTATCTTTTTTTTCGTATAAATAGTTTTTGGAATTGATAAATTATTTTCTAAATAATTACTATTCTGTCGAAGTCTTATTATTTAAATAAATAATACACTTTATAGTCTTTTCTCCATAAGACTATAAAGTGTGTTATTATATTATTATATAATAACATAACAAAACACAAGTTTTGTTATGTTATTTTTTTTTGTTTCTCAACCAAGTAGCTGTTTTGCGGATTCTGAAGTTTTATTCCTTTGCATATTGACATCATTTTATATTCTAATTTTGACTCCATATAGGTCTTGTTTAGCTCAAACTGGAATTGTTTGTTACTGATAAATAGAATTACAGATTAACCCATATTTATTTTAAATTTGCACCAAAGTAATTTTATAGAAATATATCTTCCAATTTCAGGAAATTCTGTCCACTTCCATTTTGAAATCTGTCATTTTTATTTAGTTTTTATAAACAAACAAATAAAAAAGAGACTGGCAAATTAACAAAGAGAGGGACAACCATAAAATAATAAATACAAGAAAGTGTCAAGTCAATGTTAAATTATGGAAACAGCGTGGCTGCCTGGGTAACTAATTTTCAGATATGGCGGCTGGGACATTTGACATGACTATGACATGACATAGACATGACAATTTCAATTTTATGAAATTTATTTCCGTTTCCGGTTTTTAATGGCGGGCTGTTCGGGAGGTTTAAATGAGGGTTAATATACTTTTTACTCTTTCTAGTAGTAAATAATACAACAAAATTACTCAAAAATATTTATTTGGAATTTAGAACAATGTAAATATGCAAATCAACACAATTAAAGAGCTATAAACCAATAAACTACTGTATCAATATTAAATATTTAAATAATATCAGAGATGCTGTGTTAAAGCGAATTAGTAAAGTAACAGTGCATTGACTTACAGAAACTTGAAGATAAATAAATGTTTTCACAGCTTCACGGATAAATAACTGGAAGCAGGAAAAAGGCAACCGGAACCCACACAAAACCTGGAATCAAAAAAAATATGTAAAAAACATAAATATAGGTACCTACATAAGACTTTTGTGAATTAAATCAAACAGGACTTGAATGAAAATAAAATGAATAAAAAATATGATACATATACATCTAATACCTCATTTGTATTTTAAAAATAATCTACATACATAGATTTATAGCATTATTGCTATGACCTCTATGTACCTATGTGATATGTAATTACGCATTTCTGTTCATCTTTAGAAAATTAATGTAGGCTAATAATAGTTCAATAATCATAATTTACCTTGTATAACTTGCTTTCAATTGCTCAAAATCACCGATCAGTCTTTAAAGTAGAGATACGGGAAAATCCTTGGCAAAGAATATCCCAAGATCCTTGGGTTTAAAGCTAAAAAAATATAAGAACAGTTAATATATTACCTATTTTTACATATAATATGGCCCATACCTACTACACGCAGAAACGTCGATTTCATCATTTTCTTCATGTAATTAATATCATATATACCTACTTTATTAAAGTGTTAACAAGGAACTTTATATCAAAAAACATCTTTGTACTTATAAATTTCAGTCGAAATATCAGAAACAAACTTCCAATCAAATCTAAACGGCAAAAATTAAAATGGAGCCCGACCTTGCCAGAGGCCTCGGGAGCTGACGCTGACACACAGACAAAAGACAAAAGAACAGGACGCCGACGTGCATAAAAATGTTCCGTAGCAGAAATTGACAGAAATCATATAGAAATATTCAGATTTTTGTCTAGGACAGTCCAGAAGGCCATGCTTTCTGCCTGGGTAGAACCGCGCCACAACTGTTTCCAATTTTCCGGTTTCACAATATCACCCCCCACCTGGGGACAACGTTCTCAGGCGCAACTCAGAACGCAAATTTCGTTCTATTTATGTTGATTTGCGCATTGCGTCTATTGGGCCCACTATCTCATTCTAATATAACAAGAAAGAAAGAAGCAGCCATATAAAACGTAATTTCTAAATAGAAATTAGAACAATCGCCTTTCGTTTTCGTCATCATGACAACCTAGATGATAACATCATGACAATTCGTCGTGTTTGTTAATTTTTCTTTTGGTGATTTACCTTTTTTTCTAAACTCTCCATTTTATTGACTTATGAATATGGATAGGGAACAAATTCCTTTGTTTCATATCGGTATTTATATTTTGTTACTTATAATTTTAGGTTACACTATTTGTTATTTTATTTGCTGCAGGAGCCAGTATCATCTATTTTTTATATGTATTAGTGCCCCCTTTCTCTCATAGATATGTTAAAGACACCCGGTAAAATAAAAGTAAGTAGTTATATTTATCATCTTATTAAGAAAAAAGTAGAAGTAGTAGTGTCAAAAATATTTGACACTACTTAACATAACAAATTAATGCAATTAATTTTTTTTCATTTTTTGGGTAGTTTTATAGCTGGTTTATAGTAACCAGAAACTTTATTAATATACCTATTCTACTTTTGTTTTAGGATTAAAACTGGACTTGAAAATGGTTCAGGATCATGATTCTCGTAAAGTCTTCTTTGTTTGGATATTCACTTTGTTATTGCAATTAGGCAGTTTTTTCGAAAATGAGATTTTTAATGCCCTTTAAAAAAATCGGCCGATCGTTTCCTACAACAGTCAGTTCTTCTGCATTTAAAATTGGTAGGTGGGTGGAATAAACACTGTTATTTTTTGTAATTATATTATAAAAAGTTTATTTATTTTTATGTATAAATAAATATGTTTGTAAAACAGTACAATTTTTGCTTTTTTTTTATAATTTCCCTTATAATAGTAGTATTCTTTCTTCTGAAAGAAACTGCAAATTTTGACTTAAACTGATTTATTCCCTACACCACGTTCCCTTTACGTGGTACAGGGAATAAATCAGTTTAAGTGAAAATTTTCAGTTTCAGAATGAAAGAATACTACTAATAATGGCTAATTTAAATTTCCCCCCAGCCAGAATGTGCGATAATGTCTTACGATACGTTTTATACCTATCTCTTTCTTTTTCATATAAAGCACATATAATAAAGAAAGATAGCAATAAATACGTACGTCCCGCCATGGTCCTGCTAATTGGTTTGTGTTCGGTCCCACTCTTTATCATGAGATTTTAATCAGTCTCTTTTTATTTGTTTGTCTATGTTTTTTTTTTAATGTCGTTTCTTTTTTATTTATGAGTTAATGCTATTTATAAACATTTTCACCTTTATCTCCATTAAATACGGGCAGATATAAAAAAATAACCGTTATCAGTTAACCTGATACAATTAATCGGTTATCGTAATAACCGGCTTCTTTTGAAAAAATTATTACCTACTATAATTTTTTATAATCAAAAATATAAAAAGAAAATTAGTTTGAATGATGGAAAAAGAGCTGTAAACTGACAGGCGGTACTTCTATTGCGGTAATAGATCATTTACATTTAGGTCGCGCTACAGACAATGTTTTTTTTTATTTTTCACGCGACACCTGTATTTTTTAGATGTAAAAACAGGCTGTATTTAGGATCGGTAAGACTGAAATAACCGATTTTCGGTTATGGATTAAAAGGACGGTTATTAGGTTTAACGGAACGGGAAAAAATAACCGATTAATATCCGGTTATCGAAAAAAAAACCGTTATCTGAAAAACCGATTATTTTTGCCAATCTCTGGCCTCCATGCACCAAACAAGTATTACTTAACTTTTTAATTAAAACAAAACGCTATCCCCTTATTGTAATATGAATAGGTTTTGTACATCTTCGGCGTTATGACGAAAGGCGTAACTTTCTTGTTAACTTGTTCAACATGGCTTCTCTTTTTAATTTATTTGCATCGGTAGAATATGATGCCAAAGTTTTCCGATTACAATTTGGACCACCCTGTATATTGGGCTTTTTATACTGTAAAGTAACATACGATTGAAAAAGAACGTTACAGTTGGCTTGTGGTGAAGATCATGATCGTTTTATATGCAAAATTATATGAAGAACATTAATTATGGTCATTTTCATGACAACTTAACGCCTTTTTTGGCCCAACGGTATATTTTATATTCTATTCTAGGCAAGGTATTACCAACGAAAGAACTGGAAGGGGAAGAATACAACAAAACTTACGTCAACTGCTATCGGACAAAATTGCATTCCTTTACCTACCTGTCCTCTAATTCCGGACAAATATCGTAGAGATAGATGGCGCTTGTAACAACATAGCGCATCTACCGCTGGGAGCACAGCACACGGCGTACTCGGCTGCTTCCTCTAACTACCAGGATGGTAAGATACTCTATTATTTTAATTCTCTCTCTTCATTCGAGGGACATACATATTTGAAGCCTTTTCATACAACAACGTTTCAAAATTCATACCGTTTTAGAAAATTAAAGAAAACAGCAGAAAACTAGTTTGAATTTTTAAAATACTATAATATACAAATATGGTTGAAGTACTAAAAATCAAAACGCGTTTCTATAGTAATTCTCTTATAGTAAATTTTCTATAGTAATGTAATTTCGTTTTCATCCTTTGATCGACTATTATTGATAGAATTTTGATTAATTGATTAATGGCATATATTTTGCTGTTTTAAAATGTTAAAGAAGCACAAAATTTATTTAGTTCAATGCTAGGGAAAGGGTGATACTAGTTTTCGGAAAATGTAACACTTTAACAACAACAAAAGATATGAGTTTTATTAAAATTAACTTTGAATAAGAAGACTAAGGAAGGAGCATAATGCCATCCATGTATTCATGCATGGTGGGCGGAAAAGGCACCATGAAAGCTCTCTAGGGTGGGGATCCTTGACAGTTCTGTTTGACGATTCATTTGACATATTTGAATTTGATTTGAAATTTTGTGGATTTGTCAGTCTTTATGGAGCTTATTTTATGTTATTTATTATTTATTCTACTACTGATAGTTGTATAAAGGTAGTTAATCTAGAGGAAATTGTGGCAGAACTTAAATTAACAGTGACACTATCGCGATTTATCGAAAAACACTCTAAAATAGTTGGTTGTGTAGCGTGCGGTAGATCTCGGCAAAAATGTGTGAAATAATGGAACAACTTTTCGCTACTAAATGACTATACATATAATATACATACGTGTAGTAAACCGATCATTTATGAAATTCAATAAAATTAACTAATTATATATTTTTTCTTGCATTTTTGCTTTTATTTACTACTTGTCAAAGATTAGATGTCAAAGAATTTAGATACGTCAATTTGACTTACCTGCTTCAGTAGCGTATCGGATGTTTATAACTATTTTTATTAGAATTTTATATTTTTATAACAATTTTAATAACTACCAACATTTATTCACAACGTAAAATAAAACAACAAATTATTGAGTCTACCCTACGTCTACCCTACATCATAGTTTTATATTTTTTAAATAAAATTAGAACGACACTGATAAACCGGAATTTAAGTCGGTCATATTTGAGGCCCATCGCGGTGTACCTAAAATTTTTGATATGCCCCTTCCTTAGTCTTCTTATTCAAAGAAAATTAATAATAATTATCTATCAAAAAATGAAATCCAAATTATTTTACCATAGAAACGCCTCTTGATTATTAAGGCTTTTTCAACCATATGTTCATTACATGTTTTTTTTATTTTCTCTAAAACGGTATGGAAATTTGGAAAAACATAAACGGGATTGGCCATTTTAGAACAAGCGAAAATTTTAATAAAGAATGCCGTTTTCTCAAAATGTCAAGAATAAAAAAGTGATTTCTCTTGTAAAGACAATCCGGGGACATACTGTATATTTCTCTCGTTTTTTGCTATTAAGGCAATAATTTTTTTCTATAAAGGCTAAGAATAGTATAAAAATTTTTTAGTAACAACATAGATTTCTTTCACAGAACTGTTTACTTATTGATATTTTTTTCATTTTTAAGGAATATGGTCGCCCAGAGTCTCAGTTGTAGACGAAGAGCCTCTTCCAAGTCCCAGATTAATAAGTACCACCATAATATCAGATATAGATTCTCCAAACCACGACTATACCTTACTAGTGATGCAGTTTGGCCAGTTCATATCTCACGATTTTACACAGTCAATGGATATGTCTTATGGTACGAAATATTATATTACATATTATTATTAGAAGTTGCTAAATATTGGATTGGAAAATCCTCAATCAGTTTTTTTTCTAGTTAGTTAAGATATAAAAATGGCTATAAAAATCACCATCTGATTGAAAAAAACGGCGTCAGAGACGGCTGAGGAATGATGATCGATAATAAATTTGGCGAGGGCCATCATCAGCTTGACGTCATATAAAAATTAACATAAAACGTTTCTTTTTGAAAATTTTATTATTAGTATATTTAAAAAATACAATAACATATGTTGATTTGCGCCGCAAGGAATGAAAATTATAGATAAAAATGAAAATATATTTTTGCTCCATGTAGAGATTGTAACTCATAACAGAAAAATATGTTTTACTTTTGCCATTTCGCAACTTGAATACATTTCTTATATTACCCAGCAAATCTTATTAAAAATATTATCCAACCAAGTTTACCATTTCTATTTGACGTGAATGTAGTAAAAGTAAAGTTTGTGAGCTTCTTTTTATTAAAATTTACTAAAAAATGTATTAGTACTAATAGTAATTGATATAATTAATCTTCTATAGCTAATGGAAGTGCCATATCCTGTTGTGACTTGGAAGGAACATCAATATTACCGCCTGAATCTACCCATTACGCTTGTATGCCGATTCCTTTGCCTCATGAGGACCAATTCTATGGTACATTCAAACAGAAATGTATGAATTTTGTTAGGTCTGCCTTAGCTCCAAGCCACGATTGTACTTTGGGATATTCAGAACAGGTAAATCATGTTTTTGTACTAATTCTAAAATTAATGGTTCCTTAATGGTTGGTCTTATAAAAGTTGTGCCTTATTTGGGTGCAGTCAGGCATGATGTTCTCTACTTAGAATACCTGAATTGGAGCGTTTTATGTAGCGATGGGCAAGACTGTTATTTTTAGATAACAGTTGAAACTGTTATAGTTATTTATAAAAAACAGCTTAAAATAACAGCTTAAAAATAACAGGTTTCTTTATTTTATTGCGATTAAGAGTATGAGGCGGTAACCGCCAGGCGTATTAACGCAGTTGCAAGTTGCAACAATGATGTGCTCGGTGGTAGTACTTCCAGGGTGTCATAACATTTCTAAATATCGATTGTTACCTAAAATACTTCTCTAAAAACGGTGGTTGCTTACAAATAAGCGCTGTTTACAAATTGCGATATAAAAAAGCCAAAATGCCGCCACTCGTCTATACCTATACATTCCGATCTACCTACGCCCTGCCCCTCGATTCGCGTAGATCCTGAATTGCGTAGCAGTGTACAGGGTGCATCTCACTCGACGGGCGAGAAGCTCTTAGTTATAATTTTATCATTGGCGGTCAAAAAATAGCGATATAAGGAAATGTGTAGTATATTCTTCATAAGTAAACCAACTATACACTAGAGTTCGAATTAATTTTACACTTAAACTAGCGTTTACCCGCGACTTCGTTCCCGTCGAATTATTAATTTGTAATGGTGATGATAAAGCAAAGCAAAAATTTCCATTAACATACAAACTGAATAAAATTTTCTCACATTTGCCAAAAATAAGTTTTAAACATCGAGCAGTTTAAGCAGAATCGTGGTTAATCAATTACTCAACTTTTTGGAACACCCTGTATGAAATTTAAAAAATTTCAAAATATGTAAAAAAATAAAATAAATTATGCGTGTCCAAGCGTTTTCCCGAAAGACTAACCGTTTTTTAAATAACAAATATTGTAATATTTGAGGGGCATTTTCACCCTCTTGGAATTTGAGATTCGAGAAACTCCTCCTTACGAACCTCTACACCCTACAGTCAATCCGTTTGCCATAAATCAACTTTAAACGTCAAGCAGTTTAAGCAGAATCATGATTACTCAATGGTCATATTTTATGAAACACCCTGTATATATTTTTTAAAAATCTTAAAATATGTAAAACAACAAAAGAAAATATACGTGTTTAAGAGTTTTTTCGGAAAACTCACCAGTTTCTAAATAAAAAATATTCTAATATTTGATGGTGGTTTCGCCCCCTTAGAATTTGAGTTTCGAAAAATCCCTTCTTATCGAACCTCTACACCCTAAAGTCAATCCATTTTCCAAAAATCAGCTTTTTACGTCAAGGGCTTTAAGCAGGATCGTGATTAATCAATGACCATATTTTTCAAAACACCCTGTATACATTTTTAAAAAATCTTAAAATATTCTGAAAATTTTTCAGAATAAATAAATAATTACCTAAATATTGAAACTTAATAACCAAGTACTGAAACATACAGCGCCATAATATCTCAACCTCCGCCCGTTATGCTCGTAACAGGTTGAAAAACAATGTATCTAAAACAACTGATG